TTTTATGTAATATTTCACAATGAAAAGTGTTGTTTAAAAGATTGGAAGTAATTGTAAAAATGCAGATGGACTCTACAGTCAGTTTGCTTTACAAATTTCTTTAAATTTTTGCTCCACTTAAAAACAAAAAACAGCAGCAGCAGCAAATTAGGGCCTCCTAGACCCTGTATTTTGGATCTGGCTTTTGCAAGAAAGATGGCTTCAAGCCCCAAGGACCATGCTCAAATAAAAGGCCTTGGCCCAAACTCAGATGGACAAATGAATATTGTTGTGTTTTTCAACTTAAAACAAGAAATATAAGATTGTGTGTTATTTTTTATGAATATCCAGTTTAGGCTGTATTTCTATCTAGTCTAACACAGATTCACTAAATTCACCTCTTCCCTTCCGTAGCCTAGTCTGTAGCATAAATGTGATAACGTATACTTAAATAGTTGATTCAAGCTTAATTACAGAAAAGCTTTTTTTTCCACATTTCCTAGCACCATTCTGGGAGTTTTTCATGTATTGATTCATTGGCCCCCACAGAAGTCTGGTGAGGTTGATGTGTTTTACAGGCCGTATGCTGAGGAACAGGCTGGGAGCAGCTAAGGCCAGAGCCAGAGCCAGAGCCAGGCAGGCTGGGGCGAGAGCCGCACTCCTCACCGCTCTGTGACCCTGCATCCGTGGTGGCATGTCCACCCTCTGGGCTCTTAATGCAAAATGTATTCAGTATAGCACATGCCCTATTATATTGTAATTTATCTGATTATATGGCATATGTCCACCCCCCACTCAGGGTCGTTAGCATATTTGTCACCTGAAACATTCGTTGTTTCTTTGTATCGTATACATCCTCTCCTAGCTGTGTGAAAATATGCAATAAACCATTGTTAACCATAGTCACCCTGCAGTGCTTTAGAACACTAGAATTTATTTCTCCTACCTAGCTGTGATTTTGTATCTTTTAACCAGACTCTCCATGTGCCCCCTTCCCCTTGCCTTTCGTAACCACTGTTCTACTCTCTACCTCTATGAGATCAACTATTTTAGCTTCCACATGAGTGAGAACATGTGGTGTTTTTATCTTTCTGCATCTGTCCTAATTTCACTTAAAATGACATCCTCCAGGATCATCCATGTTTTTGCAAATGACGGTATTTCATTCTTTTTGTGGCCGAGTANTCCCAGCCTCTGGTAACCATTATTTTATTTTCTACTTCTATGAGAACCCTTTTTTTTTTAAAGATTCCACATATAAGTGAGATCACGTTGTATTTGTCTTGAGCCTGGCTTAATTCACTTAACATAATGGTCTTCAGTTTCATCCATGTTGTTACAAATAAGATTTCATTTTTTAAATAGCTGAATAGTATTCCATTGTGTATATATACCACAGTTTTTTAATCCACTCATCTGTTGATGGGCATTTAGGTTGATTCTATCTCTTGGCTATTACGAATAGTGTTGTGATGAATGTGGGAGTGCAGGTGTCTCTTTGATAAATTGATTTCATTTCCTTTGGGTGTATACCCAGTAGTGGGGTAGATGGGTTATGAGGCAGTTCAAGTTTAGTCTTCTGAGGAACTTATCCATTTCTTCTAGAAAGCNGAATAAGTTGAAAGTGTTCCCTCCTCTTCTGTTTTCTAGAAGAGATTGTATAGAATTGGTGTAATTTCTTAAGTATTTGTGAGAATTTGCCAGTGAAATCATATGGGTCTGGGTTTTGGGGGGGTGTTATTGTTTTTCTTTAAGGTTTTTACTACTAATTCAAACAAATGTCATGCATTATGAGATTGTCACTAATGCAGCATACTCACTTCTCCTGATACATGCAAAATATTTCTTCAGAAATTTTCAAATGTTAGTGGCTCCATGGTCTGATCTTGCTAGGGCTGCATGCCTCTGTAAAAAACAGACAAGCAAATCAGAACAAATTTCAAATGTTATGTTAACAATGTACCAAAACATTTTTTCTTTTTTTTAATTTTAAAATTTAATTGTACATATTTGTGGGGAATGGTGCATTATTTCAATACATGCATATACTGTCCAATGATACACTTAGGGTAGGTAGTGTTAGCCATCCCCTGAACATTTATTTTTACTTTATGGTGATTACAGTCAAGATCCTCTTTTCTACCTATATGCTATCCAATTACTGTACAGTATAGTAATATTAGCACTAGTCAGCCTAGAACACCAGAACTTATTCTTCTACCTGCATGTAGCTTTGTAATTGTTAATCCACAGCTCCCACCTCCCCACCACTCCTTCTCTTCCCAGCCTCTGGTAACCATTATTTTACTTTCTACTTCTATGAGAACCTTTTTTTTTTTTTTTAAGATTCCACATATAAGGGAGATCATGTGGTATTTGTCTTGAGCCTGGCTTAATTCACTTAACATAATGGTCTTCAGTTTCATCCATGTTGCTACAAATAACATTTCATTTTTTAAATAGCTGAATAGTATTCCATTGTGTATATATACCACAGTTTTTTAATCCATTCATCTGTTGATGGGCATTTAGGTTGATTCTATCTCTTGGCTATTACGAATAAT